ATCCACTTCACCGACCACTCATCCAGCCCACACTTCCTCAGCTTCCCTAGGAGGATATCATGGGAGACTGTGTCGAAAGCCTTGCTGAAGTCAAGGTAGACAACATCCACGGCTCTCCCTTCATCTACCCAGCCAGTCATGTCATCGTAGAAAGCTGTCAGATTGGTCAGGCATGATTTCCCCTTGGTGAATCCATGCTGACTACTCCTGAGAACCTTCTTTTCTTCCACTTGCGGCACACCCAGCCCAACCAGAGCAAGACACTGTCGGGCTCGTGCTGCCCAGAGGTGAGTCTGAGCAGAGCTGACGTCCACCCTCGCCACTACAAGTGCTGTCCCTTCCAGACACTCCTCCTGCTCCAGCTGCTTCTAGGCCCCCCCTCCCCGTCCTTGCACAGAGAATCACACCCTGGGAAAAGGTTGCCCAGGGAGGCTGTGGAGTCTCCTTCTCTGGAGATATTCAAGACCCGCCTGGACAAGATCCTGTGCAGCCTGCTGTAGGTGACCCTGCTTCGGCTGGGGGGTTGGACTAGATGACCCACAGAGGTCCCTTCCAACCCCTACTATTCTGTGATTCTGTGATTCTGTCTCAGCCCTCCCTGGAAGCAGCACTGACCTCCACCTGTGGTCCGTGACTCCCCCTCCAAACCCTCTCCAAGTTTCCCTCTCGTAACCCTCCACGCCCGCACTGGCCTCCTGCCCCTGCTCCTTCCTCCACCCATCACCCTGGAGGCACATCACAGCTGGACTCTGTTTTACCACACCAGTCTCCAGTTCCTTTTCCCCCCTCTACTTTCTGGGACAGTCCCTCAGAGGAAGAATGAGCTTCTGTATTTTCGCTTCCTGATATTTGACTTTGCTGCATTTTGTTTAAAATGTCAGTAAACAGCCATGGCTGCTCTGTTAAATGCCCTGTATGGAAAAAGCGGTGAATCTGGGTTTCTTCAAACACCTAACTCTGGAGGACAGCGCCAAGCCCTGAACAGGAGCAGCAAAGTCCCATGGACAAGACTTCGGTACAGGCTCCACTGACGGCAATGGCCTTAGGCCTCTGCCAGGCACTTCCCAGCCCAGCCAGGGCACTGCCCACCCCCACAACGCCACAGGCCGGCGGATCGAGGGGTCTGGGTTAGTGGAAAATGCAGCCAGTGCAAACTCCAGCATTCACAAGCTAAGCTTGAGGCGCTAACACGAATACGTTAGATCAGTACAGGCTGGTGTAAGGCTACTTGGTCAGACCCTCCTGTTTGTTCCTCTAACAAGTATGAGGTCTCCAGGGCTTCCAGCACCCAGCCTGTCCCAGCGTGCAGGGAAATCAGAAACAACATCTGCAGGACACAGCCCTCCGCAGCGGGGGATGCCTGCTCGCAGCCAGCCCTGCCAGCACTGTCTCCTGTGCTCCGCAGACAGGGTTTCGCATTCCCTTTGGCAGCTGCCAGGCAGAAAGTGCTCTCTCACCACCTCGTGATGCGAGCTCATCAGCCTGCCCGTATCCCAGGACGGGACATGAATCCTAACGAGCTCTCTGCTTTCCATAAAGCACTAACAATACATCCACATCCAGTCAGCCAGCGCTGATCCAGGGCCATGCTCTGTCCTGACACCCTCATACGTCCGCTGTTCTGTTCTGCCCCACTGCTCACAAACTTCACCCTTGTGCCTTTATTCACCAGCTCCCCACCACAGACAAGTTCTGGCTGGCACCCCCCACCTGCCCCCTCCCTGCTTGTTTCATTTCTAGCGGCTGGACCTAGAGCCACAACCTCCCCCCACCCCCACCTTGGGCAATGCTCCTTTCCTACCCCTCAAAAACCGCTTTTGCAAGAGCTTCCCACGGTCACTCAGCTGCTCCGTTTCCTTTTTCCACCCGGCTGCCCTGGCGCTGCTCTTACCATCCATACACCAGGATCACATCGTTGTCATTTATCTTCTCAAAGGCAGACCTCGAAATGGCTTCAGCTGCCAACACAATCTTCTCCCGCAGATATTTGTCGATCGTGTCCTGCAGCTTCTCCTTCGCCTGTGGAGACAGTGCCGTCACGTACAGCACGGCCTGGCCGTGCCGCAGACGCTGCCGTGCCTTGCACGCTGTCAGGACTGCGGGCTCAGCTCTGCTTTGCAAGCAGAGAGCCCTGGCCTGCTCCCAGCCAGCCCGTCTGCTGAACGGCTCCTTCCCCGGCGACTTTTCAACTCATTCAGGCAAGTTTGTTTTTCAGACAATAAAGTAGTTCTGCATTTACTCAGACAAAAGTTAAGTCTTGGTCATAATGCTTTTTTAATTCTTCTAAGTGTGCTTTCAAACCATAAGGCACCCATGGAAAGGGAAACATCACGTTAAATCCAAACATTTTTCATTTTCTTCCATCATTCATAGAATCACTTGCTTTCTGCAAAGCAAATGTTTCAGCTTGCTAACAATTCAAGTGCTGCTCTGGGTTGCTGAACTCTGAAGTCCTGTCATAGCATGCATCTAAAGTAGGGGAGAGGATTAAGGCATTAAAAAGTTGAACAAGGGGTCCTTAAACAACAAGTCCAGCCTGGGAAACAGCCCGAGAGGTATGTTTCTGGTAAGCAGCATTCCATGGCTTCTTTCGTGCTAAATCCTGCACACCAGTACTCACAACACAGCACCACAACAGTGTGCCTGGCGTGATGCTCACGACTGAAGCAGGTGTGTCCTCCTCACCTCAAGAGCTGCTTGCGTTTCCAGAAAAGCATGCAACCATGAGAAACTAACTTGGAGTCTCATATTTAAAAGTATACAGTAGCTCACTATAGTTACATTTCTTGTCCCAACAGGCAACAGATCATCTCAAAACAGGTGCAAGTTAAAAGTACAAAGAAAGACCTTTACCGAGACTCCTCCATTGCTTAAATTTGTGCTTTCCTTTCCTTCAAGTTCTCAATTCCTTCTGCCCACCACAGAATCTTCTCTTTTGTGCCCCAGCCCTTCTCTTCCTTTCTGGACATTTAATGAATATCAGCTATTGTTTGGAAAATCATATCACAGAATCACAGAATGGTAGGGGTTGGAAGGGACCTCTGGGGATCATCTAGTCCAAACTCCCTGCCAAAGCAGGGTCACCTACAGTATCCTGAATATCTCCAGAGAAGGGGACTCCACAACCCCTTTGGGCAGCCTGTTGCAGTGCTTCGTCACTCTCAAAGTAAAAAAGTTCCTCATGTTCAGACGGAACTTCCTATGCTTCAGTTTGTGACCACTGCCCCTTATCCTGTCGCTGGGCACCACTGAAAAGAGCTTGGCCCCATCCTCCTGACACCCACCCTGCAGATATTTGTAAATATATATTAGGTCCCCTCTCAGCCTTCTCTTCTTCAGGCTGAACAAGCCCAGCTCGCTCAGCCTTCTCGGCAGCACTGCTCCCAGCGCGCAGCCCACCACCTCTGCCTGTGCCAGGACTGTCCCCCCGCCCTGCTGCCTGCAGCCAGAGGGCTGGAGCCTGCTGCTCGCCTGCGGCCACTCACCTCCTCCTCTCTCAGCGTGTCGGGTAGGCACGAAATCTCCTTCTTGAGGAACTTAATGGCATTGCCCATGCTGGCTGAAAGGGGCCGGCACTGGTTCAGGAAGCTGCGCAGAAGAAAAGGGCTTAGCTCAGAGCAGCCTGGAGGGCAGGTGCAGGAAGAGGAAGGATACAGCTGGGCTGGGGATGGTGGGCACGGAGGCAGAACTCAGAGCCAGCTCAAGGTTGGGTGGACACCAACCCGGAGAGATGACCAACGGACCACACTCAGCAGAGCTTCGGTCCCTCTGCTCCGGCACCAGGAGCCCTCACCTGATGTGTGGCTTCAGCTTGGCCACCAGGTCCCGTGACAGCTCCTCGTTCGGGGGAGTTGAGTAATCTCGGATCAGCTGTGAGAAGAAGGATGAGAACACGAGTTCAGGGCACCTGTCCCTTCTGGCCAGGCACTGTGTGCGACCACCCTCGCCCAGGAGGCTGCAGACCAGGCGCAAGCGTGGACCGCACCGCTTGACACACAAAAGAGGTGCTCCAGGAACTCAGATCTGCCACATCAATGCCAGGACAGCAGCAGGACCCAGCCCTGGGCACGATCAGAAGGAAGACGCTAAAGAAGACCTGGTAGTCAGAGAACAGACAGGGATGCCTGCACCTGGTGGGCATGGGGGGCTGCTCGCGTACCTGTTTGAAGACTTCCAGCAGGGCAATGCAGCGGGCGTTGGAGCCATTGATGATGCCCTGGGAGTACTGGAGGCCAAAGCGC